TTTGGGATAATGCTCTCCTTCTTGCAGAGGGAAAGAATCCAAGAGTTCTTTGCTTCATTTTAAACTCTGCTTTTCTTGTCATAAAGGATTAGTATCACGGTTGATTACAAACATTTATATCTCTTGCTTTCATATTTATGTGCTATCCTCTCAATCTCCCTAAATCACTTGACAAGATTTACCCAGAGACCCCAGAAAAGAAAAACAACAAACCAGCTAAACTACTTTGAAATCAATTACAAGACCATTTTTCAGCACATTTGTATTCCATCTGAACCAGGTATGTGTATTTCTCCTTTTGTTAGGAATATTTAGTTCTGTACTTCTAAGATTGCATTCATTCTGCCAATTGAAAATAAAAAAAGATTGCATTCATTCTGCGAATCAAAAATTAAAAAAGATTGCATTCATCATGTTGAAATCTATATTAGCATTCTCTCTTTTCTATGTTACAAAATTAATATAAGCACTCACACTCAAACAATGGAGAAAAAAATGGATTTGAGAGGAAATCAAGCCTCCAAAAGCCAAAATTTAATATTCTATTGCTTGAGGGTATTACAATTTTATAACTGTATAGTCTTGGCATGCTAGAAAAGTACTTTGCTGCTACATTTTCAGAGTATCTTATCTAGGTAGCATTTAGGTTGGTTGTACAAATATCTCTTGATCTCATATTTGTGCTCTATTTTCTCAATCCTTCAAAACTCATTGAATAAAATTAACAAAAATTTCAGAAGCAATCAACAGGACACTAATATATCTTGACTTTTCTTACACATAGATTTTGGTATATCTATTAGTGTTATCCATTCTCTATTCCTGCGGATGTTTGGACCTATAATAGCTCATCCTTGATATCCCATGCTGCATTCATTCTATTAAAATCTACTAAAAATCTTAGCTGACATGTATTGTGTGCTACACAAGTTCTCTAATTCTTTGAAGGAGAGAGGGTTCATTCAAGCAGTTTCTCCAAGGAAGTCTGTGAAACTGGGCACGTCCTTTCTTTCCTTGCTCTCAGTTACTTGGAGTAACCAGGTGCACTTTTTCTCTTATAAACTATTTTACAATTCAAATTATGTCTCATGCTCCCAATTTGTGTGGTAAATAACTTCTGTTTAGTATATGAATTTGTTGATTGAAAACATTACTTCATGTTCTAATCCATTTCTAAGGTCATAGCCCTCTATGATTGAGATTTATACTCATTGACCTCTGAACTTTGCTTTGTAAATTATCCTGTAAATTATCCTGCAAAATATGCATGAAGAAATCCAACCATAGCATTTTTGCATACGTTGCATTTATATAGCTACCTGATGCATTTTTGCAAACATTTCATCTAGATAGCTTTAGCCTTTGCCATAAACTTTGCTCTGAATTATAGTCTCCTTGGAAAGGATTAGAATTCTCACCCTTACAATGGAGCCTTGGATGTAATTTAAAGTACTTTGCTGTTTCATTTTCAGAGTTTCTTGTCTTGGTAACATTTAGGTTGGTTGTACAACTATTTCTAGATCTCATTTTTGTGCTCTATTTTTTCAATCCTAGCAAAACTCATTGAATAAAAATTAAGTGACCTTTCAGAAGCAATCAACAAGCCACACTAATATATCTTCACTTTTCTAATACCATTTTAGTTTATCTATAATCTATTTTCTATTCCTATGGATGCTTGGACCAATAGTAGCTCATCCTTAATATCCCTTGTTGCATTCATTCTATTAAAATCTACTGAAATCAGCACTTACATTAAGTTGACATATATTTTGTGCTGCTTATGTTTTCTAATTATATGAAGGAGAGAGGGTTCATTTAAGCTGTTTCTATGTGGAAGTCCTTGAATCGAGGCATGTCCTTTCTTTTCATTGCTGTCAGTTATTTTGAGTAACCAGGTTCTTTTCTTCTTCCATAAACTTTTTTACAGTTCAGAGTATTTCTCTTTCTCCCAGTATGTATATTAATAATTTCTATATACTATGTGGTTTTGATGACTGGAAACATTGCTTCATATTCTAAAACATTTCTATGGTTACAGCCCTCCAAGAAAGATTTATACTTATTGACCTCTGAACATTTCTTTATAAATTATCCTGCAAAAATAGGGATGAAGAAATCTGACCGTAGCATTCTTGCAAATGTTGCATTATAGCTACATGATGTATTTCATTATAACATTTATTTTGTTTGCCGTAGTTGATCTAATTTCTCAAATGAATGCTACATACCCCTTGGCCTCTGATTGTTTTTCTGGGGGTAGTTTAACATATCTCTCTGGTCTTCAATAAAGGAAAAAAAAATAGCTTTTAGAATTCTCTAGCACCTCGCTCATTTGTCTTTCATATGTCACACATTTATGCCTTTGGGATACTTGCTTACTTCATTGACTTATTTATCTATCTTTAGCATATGGCATAAACATTGCTCTGAATTATGCTCTCTCCATCTTGGAAAGAGACCAAACCCTAACTGTTGCCCCTGAACTTGAAAGTTTTAAGGGTTTTTGCCCCTTAATGTTACGGTTGAGTTGCAAAAATCCTTAAAACTTACAAGTTTGGGCGCAACCTAGTGGATTTGGCCTAAAATCCAAGAGTATTTTCTGCATTTTAGTCTTCCTTTTATTAAAATGGAGGATTAGTATTTTAGTTTGGTTATTTTTACTTACAATTCTTGGTTGCATATCTGTACTTTATCTTCTTAATTTTCAAAAACCCACTGAAGAAGATCTATCTTTGAAATCTCAGGAAAAGCAGTAATCAAAGGATACCACCAACTATAGATTTACATCCATCTTTAAGACCAGTTTGGTAAAATTTGCTACGTATCTTTTCTCCATTTTGACCACCTTCTCTGATATTGAAAAGGCCACCCAACCCAGGTTCTTTTTGTTTTCGATTTGTTTCAGAATTTTAATATCCCTTCCTCTTAGATTGCATTCATTTTGGAATAAGAACCTATATTAATGAAACTTAAAATAAACCTATCATAAACTGGCAGAATTTGAAGGATGCTAGTATATATGTTGTGGTGGACAAGATGATATCAAAATAGACAACCATATCTTATAGTTATATTGTTTTTTAAAAAACTGTGTTTTTTTTATGCTCCCTTGCTATGGCTAACATCTTGAGGTTTTTTGCTTATCTTTTCAAATTTCATAAAATTTTCCAAGTTATTTTCTTTACTGCTGTTAATACAATACATACTAATGAGTAATGATATATATATTCTTTATTAGCCATACATACTGATGATATATGCTCACATTCTCTCCCTCCAGATTACATCATTTTGGTTAATCTACTGCAAAGTTGGAGCTCCTTGTCTATCTTCTCAAAACAACTTGGAGAAGCATTAGCTTTTTGGTCAGGTACAAATTTTTTGATTGATTATCAAACCTCCAAATGCCAAAATTTAATATTCCATTGCTTGAAGGTATTACAATTTTGTAGCTGTCTTGTAAGGTAGAAAAGTAGCTAAGAATTATATCTATGTCCTATTTTCTCTACCTTACCACTGAGCCCTGAATCTAAATTAAAGTGCTTTGCTGCTTCATTTTAAGAGTTTCTTATCTTGGTAACATTTAGATTGGCTGTACAAATATCTCTTGATCTCATATTTGCGTTCTATTTGCTCAATCCTTCAAAACTCATTGAATAAAATTAACCAAAATTTCAGAAGTGAGCAGCATGACACACTAACATATCTTTGCTTTTCTTATACATACATTTCAGCATGTCTATTATCTATTTGCTATTCCCACGGATTCTTGGACCTATAATAACTCATCCTTGATATCCCCTGTTGCATTCATTCTATTAAGCATGTCTAAGCTGAAAATCTATTAAAATCTACAGAAAATCTAAGCTGATATGTATTTTGTGCTGCATATGTTCTCTAATTCTTTGAAGGAGAGACGTTCATTCAAGCTGTTTCTCCAAGGAAGTCGTTGAAACTGGTCACATCGTTTCTTTCATTGCTCTTGATTATTTGGAGTAACCAGGTGCACTTTTTCTATCATAAACTATCTTACAATTCAAAGTATGTCTCATGCTCCTAAAATCTATATTAATAATTTCTGTTTAGCGTATGGGTTAGGTGATTGGAAAAATTACTTTATGTTCTAAAATGATTCTATTATCGCAGCCCTTATGATTGAGATTTATAATCGTTGACCTCTTAACATTTCTTTGTAAATTATCCAACAATAGCATTCTTGCAAATGTTGCATTAAGATAGTTACATGATGCATTCAATCATAGCATTTATTTTTATTTGCCATAGTTTTTCTAGTTTCTTAAATGAATGCTACATTCTCCTTGGCTTCTGACTGTTTTATTAAGCATAGTGATATATCTCTCTGGTGTTCAGAAAAGAAGAAAAAAGATAGGTTGTAGAATTCTCTACCACTTTCCTTATTTTTGCCTTTTATAAGGCTTGCCTTGTGATACACTTGGTTACTTCCTTTACTTATTTATCTAGCTTTAGCATATGCCAGAAACTTTGCTTTGAATTATACTCTACTTGGAAAGGATTAGAGTTCTCTACCTTACTGCAGAGCCTTGGATCTTAATTAAAGTACTTTGCTGCTTCATTTTCAGAGTTTCTTGTCTTGGTAACATTTAGGTTGATTGCACAGCTATCTCTTGATCTCATTTTTGTGCTCTATTTTCTCAATCCTTGTAAAACTCATTGAACAAAAATTAACCGAGATTTCAGAAGCAATGAACAATCCACACTAATATATCTTCACTTCTCTAATTCTATTTCAGTTTATCTATAATCTGTTTTCTATTCCTATGGATGCTTGGACCTATAATAGCTCATTCTTGATCTTGACATCCCTTGTTGCTTTCATTCTATTTAAATCTGCTGAAAATCAGCCCTCACATTAAGCTGACATCTATTTTGTTCTGCATATGTTCTCTAATTCTTTGAAGGAGAGAGGTTTCATTCAAGCTGTTTCTCTAAGGAAGTCCTTGAAACAAGGCACGCCCTTTCCTTCATTGCTCTCAGTTATTTGGAGTAACCAGGTACATTTTTTCTTCCATAAAGTATTTTACAATTCAAATTATGTCTCATGCTCCCAATGCATATATTAATGATTTCAGTTTATTATATGGTTTTATTGATTGGAAACATTACTTCATGTTCTAAAACATTTCTACGGTCATAGCCCTCTAAGAATTAGATTTATACTCATAATCTCTAAACATTTCTTTATAAATTATCCTGCAAAAATATAGATGAAGAAATATAACCATAGCATTTTTGCAAATACTGCATTAGGATAGCTACATGATGCATTTCAGTATGACAATTACTTTTATTAGCCGTAGTTGATCTAGTTTTTTAAATGAATGCTACATAGTCCTTGGTCTAGGGCTGATTTTTTTGAGATTAGTGTAATATATCTCTCTGGTCTTTAAGGAAGAAAAAAATAGCTTTTAAAATTCTATAGCACCTCACTTATTTATGCCTTTCATATGCTTTGCTTTGGGATACTTGGTTACTTCATTGACTTATTTATTTAGCTTTAGCTCAAGGCATAAAGCCATAAACATTGAACTTGAATTATACTCTCCTTCTTGGAAAGGATTAGAATCTAGGCCAAACCACAACTTTTGCCCCTGAACTTGTAAGTTTTAAGGGTTTTTGCCCTGCAATGTTATGTTGAGGTGCAAAAATCCTTAAAACTTACAAGTTTGGGCATAACCTAGTGGGTTTGGCCTAAAATCTAAGTGTATTTTCTCCACTTTAGTTTCCTTTTCTTAAAATGGAGGATTAGCGTTTTAGTTTGGTTATTTTTACTTGTAATTCTTGGTTGCATATCTGTGCTTTGTCTTCTGATTCTCAAAAACTCACTAAGATTTATCTATGAAATCTCAGGAAAAGCAGTAACCAAAGGATACCAACTAGTATACATCTGCATCCATCTCTAAGACCAGTTTGGTGAAGTTTGCTACGTATCTTTTCTCCATTTTGACTGCCTTCTCAGACATTGAAAAGGCCATCCAAACCAGGTTCATTTTGTTTTCCATTTGTTTCTGAATTTTTATATCCCTTCCTCTTTGATTGCATCCATTTTATAATGAGAACCTAGACTGATGAAACCTAAAATAAACCTATCATAAAGTATGAAGTGGAAGAATTTAAAGTATGTTAATATGTTGTGATGGACAGGATGCTATCAAAATAGAAAACCGCATTTTAAAGTTATATTGTTTTTTTAAAAAACCTTTTTTTTTTTTTTGGTTCTTTGGCTGACATCTTGAGTTATTTTGCTTTCCTTTTCAATTTTCAAAAAATTTTCCAAGTTATTTTCTTTACTGCATTTAATACCATACAAACTAATGAGTAAGGATATATTTTTTTTGGTCAGCCATATAGACTAATGATATATGTTTGCATTTGTTTCCTCCAGATTACATCATTGTGGTTAATCTGCTGCAAATTTGCAGCCCCTCTTCTATCTTCTCAAAACAATTTGAAGAAGCATTAGCTTTTTGGTTAGGTACAAAATTTTTAATTCATTATCAAAATCTATATCTGATTAGCGATTTTTTTTTTTTACCAAAAGTAGGAACCATAGGCAGCATGACGGATAGTTAGTAATTCTGAGGCAGAACAATCTGTTTGGACAGTGCTTTTTGTAGTCCAAAGGATACTGAATATGTTCATGCCTCGGAATATATTTTTCCTTCTTTTTTTCTGGTTTTCCAAACATTTGTGAGTTAGATTTGTTTTATTTTTATATCAGTTCTGAGGTAGATTTCTTAACTTCTCATTGTTCTTTTCTTCGCCTTCATCTTTGCTATCTCAATTCATAGTTCTTTCGCATAGATGATTTATAACTTCCCATATCAAACTCTTTAATTTTAATTTCTGATCTTTTATTGCCGTTTCAATTTTCAATCCTGGCTTCTAAAACTTGATACCTGATAATCTAATGCAGTACAACTGAATGGACTTCATTGGGCCAATTCTTGAAGTTTTAGAGTTCGTTGGCCCCCCAATTTGCAAATATCTGAAATATCACCGAAAACTCGATGACTTTGTTTCTAACTTCCAAAGATTACAAGAAGATCTGCATAACCGGAAGGATGCAATTGAATCAAGATTGCATGCAGAGCTTCATTTTGGTAAAAGAAAGAATCCAGAAGTTACAAAATGGCTGGAAGATGTGGTGGAAATAACAAAAGATGCTCAAAGGGTTGAACATAAAGTGAGAAAAGGGAAATATTTCTCGCGTGCTTGCCTAGGAAAGCTTTTGGAGGATAAAACTCAAGAAATGAAGTTGCTATGGGACAAGGGAAATTCTCTTCAGATTTTGGTACTTGATGATCCCTCAAGCTCAATTGTTCCATTGCCAACGTCAGAATTAGTAGGTGAGGAAGATGTTAAGGAGAAAATTTGGAGTTACTTGGAGGATGATCAGGTTAACAAGATTGGAGTTTGTGGAATGGGCGGCATAGGGAAAACAACTATCATGAAGCACATCCATAATGAACTCTTGAAAAAAGCCAAATTTAGTAGAATAGTTTGGGTTACTGTATCACAAGAGTTTGATATTGGGAAATTGCAGAAAAACATTGCAAATGGATTGAATGAAAAGTTGGAGGAAGATGATGATATAACTCAGCGTGCAGCAAAGCTATTGGCAATCTTACAGAGATGGCGGTCTTTCGTGTTAATTCTGGATGATGTGTGGACTGGATTTTGTCTTGAAGATGTTGGAATTCCAGAGCCAACTGCAGAGAATGGTTGCAAGGTAGTTTTGACAACACGACTGAAAGAGGTTGCTCGATCGATGGGGTGTGAGATGATTGATGTGAAGCCTCTTGAAAAGGACCAAGCATTGAAACTATTCTTGAATAAAGTCGGAAATGACGTTTTGTCGCCAACTTTAGAATCAACTTTGGAGATGATTGTGGATGAATGTGCTGGTCTTCCTTTAGCAATTGTTACTGTTGCTGGTAGCATGAGAAGAATTTCTGACCCACGTTTGTGGAAGAATGCTCTGAATGAATTGATAGAACACAGCAGAACGGTGGCAGGTACAGAGGCTGATAAATTTGGCATATTAAAGTTTAGTTATGACTATTTGAAAGATGAAAAAATTCAACTTTGTTTTTTGTACTGTGCATTATATCCTGAAGATTATAAAATTCCAAAAGATGAGATAATTGAATACTGGATTGAGGAGGGACTTATAGAGGAAATGCAAACCAGACAAGCAATGAAGTATAAAGGCCATGATATTTTGAAGAAGCTTGAAGACAACTGCTTGTTGGAATTCACTGAAGAT